TCGATTTTGATCGATAGTTGCTTCAGTGACACGTATTGCGAAATGAGCGGCCTGTTCCTCGTGCGCCGATCTAGTCCAGTCATATCTCTGGAATGGGTGGGGAACCGTCAACCATAATCCCAATTCGTCTGTCTTACGCTTCTCCAAATGACCGTTGATCCATCGATAGTCTCGGAACCTCTCAGTGGCTCGACGCTTGTCGTGCTTAGTGAGATGGTCCAATGGTTGGCCAACTAATTTAGCTAATAATATTTTATCCGTCCATACTTCCGCCCATCGGTATTTTTCGTCGTATTTGGGGCTGTCCGTTCGGGCGGCCTCGAATCGAACTTCCGTAGGAAGTTTGTCTGTTCTACACATGAGGCATCTCCATTCCTTACTGCTCGTTCTGTATCGAACACATGCGCCATGTGCGCGATTAACACACGTGGCACATTCTACCCAGTCGGTGAATCCAAACTCGAAGGGATAGCAGTCTACCCCATAAACTCGGGCAATACACGTGCAAAAATAACAGAATTTGTCTGGGGGATTGGCGAGAAAGTCTGAATGAGCGAGGGGAGCGGAATAGGTGGGAGAGGTAGAAGAAGGTGGGGTTTCCATTATTCCGAAGGAGAGAGAGAGAGGGACGGGATTGGGTGCACGTGTCCACTTAGCCCTTCGACAAGATCTCCACCTGTCCGTACTGAGGCTCGTTCTTTGGCTCCGGGTCACGCCACGGGATCACTTCCTCACTCCTGGGACCTTGTTGGGGCGGTGCAGTCATGTCAGCCCGTCCGCGTTGCCGTGTCTCTCGTGCTTTCGATGACAAATATCAAAGTCCATACTCTGCAACGTGGTAGCCCATCGCCCGATCATACCCGAGTAATCCTTGGACTTCTTCAATGCCAGCAACGGTTCGTGATCGGTCACCAACGTGAACTTCCGGCCATATAAGTACACTCGGAAGTGACTGATCCCCCACAAGGCCGCGTAGCATTCCCCCGTCGGGGCAGAGTAGTTGCGCTTGTAGGCAGGCACCGTCTTAGACGTGTATTCCACCACGTGTTCGAGGTCGTCTGGTCCCACCTGGGCCAAGATCGTTGAGATCGCCTCGGGCTGCCAATCGGTGATGAGGACAAACGGTTTTTCCAGGTCCGGTCTTATAAGGACCGAAGTCGAAATCAAGGCCGCCTTGAGTTCTCGGAAAGCCCGATCGCATTGCGGGGTCCAGATCAACGGCTGATTTTTTTTCAGCAGATTCGTGAGTGGTCCCGCAATCGTCGCAAACCCCTTGATGAACCTTCGATAGTACGATGCCAAACCCAAAAAGGCGCACACTTGTGTCACGGACGTTGGTACTGGCGCATCTTTCACGGCTGCTACCTTCTGAGGCTCTGGCTGCAACCCTTGGTCCGTAACCACGTGGCCGAGGAAGGAGATCTTGGTGAGGAAAAACTGACACTTCTCAACAGCCACCTTGAATCCAGCGTCCTTCAACGTGTGTAAAGTTCATTCAATGTGCTGCACGTGCCCCTCATAGTTACTTGAATACACAAGGATATCATCCATATAGACAATCACACAATAGTTCATTATGCTCTGCGCCAGCCGCGTTTTTCGCACGAAGTTCTGGAAAACCATGTTCATCGCGTGCTGAAACGTGGCTGGGGCGTTGCAAATCCCCATTGGGCATCGAACCCATTGCCAGGTTCCTTCGAAAAGAATGAAAGTCGTTTTCGGGCGATCCTTTTTTCGAACAAGGAGATGGTGGAATCCATGGCGAACATCAAACTTGCTGAAAAACGGAGCACTACCAATAGCATTCAACAACTCATCGATCCAGGGGGGGGGATACACATCCTTAATTGTGATGTCATTCAATTTTTGGTAATCGATGCATATGCGAATTCCCCCTGCCTTTTTTGGCACAATCACCACCGGAAACGACCATGGTCCGATGGCGGGTTCGATCCACCCTTTAGCTTCGAACTCCTTTATCCTTCGGAAAGCGGCCGATCTTTGCGCCGGCGAATACCAATAGGGAGTGCAACTAATCGGTGGATGATCCCCCGTGAGGATTGCATGCTCAATCACGTTGGATAATCCCATATCGTTATCATGCACACTCAGCACCTTAGCATACCCATGCAAGACATCAATCAGGGATCTTCGGATCTCTCAGGGGACATGATTGGGTATTGTGATTACGGGGCGATTAAGGATGTCAAATGGCGTATCGATCCAATCCATCATGCGCGATCGTTTGTCGTCCACACTGGAGAATATGGAGCTACTGGTTCGGACCGAGAAGACGGTGGCAATCATATGTGATTTGGTCGGACTAATCATCTCAGTTTCCTTAGTTCCGGCGTCGGTTTTAGAGTCAGTGGTGCTTTCCGCTACTTCCAATCCTGTTAGCTCAGCCATTTCTTGCATAAGGTCTGGAACATCATCTATCGGGGCTTCTGCTTCTCGCTTGATTATGACGATCATAGCTCCTTGCGTAAGTAACGATCTGGGTGGAGAAACGGAAAGAACCAGGTACTAATTTATCTGGTGATATCTAGCTCGGAGTGAAAGCGCGCCCTCGTACAAAGTGCGAGGGGGTTCCAAGAGGTCAGCCATATCTGAAATCTGCAAGATCGGTTCCCCTAGGAATGACATGGCGGAAATCCACTTTTCCGTAGATGCGGGAAAGAATGTCGATAGGATATGGCTAGGCTCGCCACTTCCTGAACTCATATCAAATGTTCGGGTGGTTACCGGTATCGTTCAAAATTCCTCTTTCGTCTCACAATCGAACATTTCAACTAATTGTTCTCATTCTTTTCCGCTAGGCATGTAGTTCATTTTTTCCTCATAATCGTATTCGTCGCTTTCGCCATCATCAGCAAGGTGTTGTTCTTCGTCATTGTGTGAGGGTGAATCTTCCGGGAACGGGACTTGGACCATTCATATCCGGACAATACTGGGATTCCTTTTCGGTGATCAAGTAGAAACCCGCAACGGAAGCGTTTGAGGCTTTCCTCCAGTGTGCGTGAGGACAAGCTGTTTAGAATCGAAGTGTATTCGCGCACCTACCGCTATCGCCCAGGGCAATCCCAACAGTACCGAGTAAGAGTGCACATCGATGACTAACGCGTTAACCAGAACATGCACTCGACCTACTTTGACAGCTACGTTCTCGATGATCCCTACTATGTTCGACCGAGACGTAGTTGTCTTTCACAGGTAGCGAAAGGATCGAGTTCAGTCGGCCCGTTTTTCTGACTGTGTCTAGGGATATGGCTACGGTCGATGATCCGGTATCAATAAGAGCAATAAACGGTTAACCCCAGACTTCGCAATCACATTCGACACTTTTCCACGGACCGATCGAACACGCATAAAATGATCTTTTTCCACGTAAGAGATGGCAGCGATTCGCGCCGTCTCTGGTGCGTCAGGTTCAGTCGCAGGAGGAGGGTTTGCATCAGCCTCGTCATCTCTCTTCTTCTTTAACATACGTTGAACGCACTGATACGTAAAGCGTTTTTTATTCTTCTGACATTGTTGCAGAAGCTTATCATTTGCGGCTTCTGATATGGTCAGCAAGTGTCCTACTGGGACCTGAACTCGAATGTTCAACTGCTTGAGCGTCTGCAGGACATCGATTTCTCCCGTTTGAAACTGTGGTCCGGGTTCTGATCCCCGCTCGACCCATTCGAGCTCATCTTTGCCAGGTCGGATTGCTCCGATCATTCCTGCCAAATGAAGATACTCGGCTGGATCAACGACATCGGTAGCTTCGGAAGATAATCCCGAAGTAGACGCGGTGGCGTCGGTCGAAGGTGGTTGTTCGCTAGAGGAGGAGGCTTCCCTTGCGGCTTCCATCACTGCGGCCACCCGACCTTGATTCAAGGTAACAGGCGCAGCTGCTGGCGGAGGTTGATTACGTTTTGGCTGGGGGCATTCACGCGCAAAGTGTCCAGGCTGTTTACAGTTGTAACATTCAATCCTCCCCGCTGGATTGACCGCATGAGGGGGAGCGGGAGGAGCTGGTCCAGATACAGGAGGGGCGATCAGCAGAGGGTACGAAACAGGAACGGGGCGGGAAGGGCTGGAATTAGCTTTTATTAGCTTCGTCATGATTTGTTCCAACCGATCCATTTGGGAAGCCTACATCTAAATCAGATTATTCATTCACTCAGACTGTTTAGTCGTAGCGGTATGAATCATATGGGCCAGATGCATGTTAGTAATAGGCACTGATGCAGCATCTTGGGGCATTACCGTATTCACGGGTGCCATCTTTGAAGGAAGAGGAGGTTTCGAGAGAGGCAGAGAATGATAGGGAGAGGGATCCGGGGCGGGCCCGTCCTAATAGTCGTGATCAGGTCGAGTGTAAAACGTCCCACCGCTCTGAGCCACGACCGCCGCTTAGCGGCCACATCTTGGATTGTGTCTGAGATGTCTTCCTCTCCCTGACTGATATACTTGCGAGTATCTAGCAGGTCCAGTTCAAGTGCTTTAGCTATGATGGCGGGTAGCTGGTTCGTTTTAGGAGGAACCTTTTTCTGCAGTTTCGCTTTCAACACTGGATTGCGGAGATGATCGATGAAATCGATCCACAAAGTCGGGTAGCAGCTCTCCGGGTTCCTGCGGACGGGTTTTTTAGTACGAACCACGCAGCATCCTCGCTGACTGCATCGAACCTTGCTAGGAACGCCCTCTTGAATGTATCCCAGTCTACCCATCTATGCCTTCTAAACCAGTCATGAGCATTATTTCTTAGTAACAGGGTAATGACGAGGGGAAGATCCTCGGCGCCATACCCCTGAGCTTGCACGGCTTCGAGCCATGCCAAGGGATGAGTGTAATTAGGATAGAACGGGAAGGTAGCGGGGATGCTTACCATCACTCGGGGAGGGGTTCCATTAGCATCGACCATGGGCATTTCTGGTCGAGCTTCGGCGGACCTCTGCCGAGTGACGGGAGGACTAAGACAGGTAAATCGTTTAATTGATCTTCCTCTCGCCAACTCGCCTTACTATTGTCAGAACCGACACGTGTCGACTCTGATACCAACCTCACGCCCTGCGCTGACTTTCATTCGGAGTGTTTAAATTGCGGAAGGGGCCCCAGAAAGACAGCGAGATGGGGTGTGCCAAGGATTTTTGGAACGTTGAGTGTGGGGACACAAACATAACCGAAATCCCCTGTGCCGATCCGACTTAGTAAAAAGGGGGAGGGTCCGTCACTGCGCTGGTTTTGAGGGAGAAAAAGGAGCGCGCGGGACGCACGGCGCGGGGGAATTCAATCCAAAAAGTATCGTTGAACTTCCCATTGAGCCGTCGCTTTCCGTTTCGCATGGAAGGGGGCGGGCACATACTTGGTAGCCCGTTTCCGGGTCAAGTCTCGACGGCGCTCATTATAGAACTGTGAATGTGACGTGGAAAGTCGTAACTGAGTGACTCTTTCCTTATGCTCATCTTCCTCTCGTACTCGGTAGTGAAAGCCTTTCGATTGGTAACGCTCAAAGCGGTGACAATCGCTGCACAGAGTGTTAGGCCAATGAGGCGCTACTGCCGACCACGGGGATGACGATCAGCTCATTAAACGGCAATAGCAACGAATAAGGCGGAAAGTGTGTGTCTACAAGAACAAAACCAGCGCCGACAAATCGAGAGCATCGGGTTTCAGGAGGGAAGTAGTATCTTCCGCCGATCTTGGCGACGGCTTCTCGTATGTCCTACTCGCATACACGTGTCCTCTTCTCGTTATACGGGAAGGGGTGTGGCGGGGATGCGGGAGGCCGGCGCCCAGTCAGTTCGGGACAATCGGTCCACATGGCAATAGTGAAATCTTATCCAGCATGCATCTTACATATTAATCACAACGATCCTACGACTTAGTCAGAGACGCGTCCACCAGGCAATCGCCTCATCATGACACCATCCAAACATTCTCATTCATTTCTCACAGACATTCATCGAGGAAGGTGCGAAAATAGCAGTCACACAACACCCAGTTCTCCGTGTGCTCTGCACCCCTAACTCGCGACTGATTAGGTGTTAGTTGGAACAATCATCTCGTTCCTTGTGTGCAATAGATCAGCAAACATCCATAATCGTGCATGTCACAGAGAGAGAGGGTAGGGAGGAAAAGATACGGAGCAGACAAGATTACACCAAGATCCGATAAAAAAAAAAAGTTTTCGGCTTAAGTGCCATCAAACTGAACTCACTCCAAGAAATAGATTCGAGACAAGGAGGCGCATCCGCCATGAAGTTCCACTATGGCCCCGGGCCATTCATCCATTCAACTCCGATCACTATCCCATGCATGCACTGACGATCCCAACCATCATGTGCCACTTTCCACCACTGCAATCGTCACCCCGCCGACTTAGTCTCGACACGGCCTGCCCGGATCCCACAGTCCGTCGTGGCGATCAGGCGCCCCGCCGGCCAGGCTACAATCAGCACGCCGGGACTTTTCGACTCGCACTCCACACATACCATCTAGCCACGGCTTCCCGGAAGCTGGCAGACGAGTTGAGAGAGAGATTTGCAGGCGCGCTTGCGGAATTTATAGTTGCGGGAAGGGAGGTAGGTACGAGGGAGGATGAAGGTTGAGTCAGGGAAGGGTGAGAGAGGAGTTGGGGATAATCGCCCAACGAAAGCCATGTCAATTCTGCTGAGTCCGATCACAACCAATCAGAGTCTTCGCGTAATAGGAGTTTCTCCTTACACGGCGCTTCTCCTTGGCCGGACGGAGTGAGGAAGGGATCGACCAGGCTTTTGGGCGTAGGACTCAAAGTGGGAGGAAGAAGGGTGCGCAGGATAGCGTGAAACAGATCCAAGATTCAGATGATCAAGAAAGAGAAAAGGCGCGCGGGGAGAGAAGGAGAGAGAGAGAGAGGAAAAAACGGTTACGGCAGGAGACTGAGCGCGGGCGCGAAGGGAGCGTCGAAGATGGCGAGGGGAGCAGAAAGGGGGAAGCTCGCTTGCATGACGTCGATCACAAATGCATACCGAGGCACCAAAACAGTTACAGATTCCTAAGTCCTATGCTAATTTAAAAATTGAAATCATCATATCCGCGCGTAAAGTAGGCGCGGGAAAAGGTAGTCCTACATCATTCGTATTCCCACCAAATTCCTAGAGTTTTCCGCGACGTAGTCAAGAACATTCATGCAAAAAAAAAGGACACGTTGGGTTTCTTTTATTTCGGAATTTCTAACTGCCGGGCCAAATTTCTAGTGCGCTTACAAAAGCGCGCGCAATTCCCATGCATTTCCCAAATTCTGAAAACAGAATTTCAAGAATTAACACGGGTCTCAGCAATGCATCTTTAATCAAAAACAGAGAGGGGCCTTGTTGGGCCGAGCAAAATTCGAAAAGAAAATGAGAGAGAAAGAGTTCGGAAGATGGCGCAGGCTCAGAAGCTGGTTCGTCACAGATGTGAGGGTGTGCTTTGTGCGTGGGGATGACGGTACTTCTCCACAACCTGGGATCAAATCCCAGTGTCAGCACTCCAACAAAACAACACAATCTAAACAATACAGTGGGCCACCATGGGCTGGTCCCAACATTGAGGGATTTTGGAGAGCATGGCAATGGCTATGCTCACCTTTTTTTTTCCCCCCTACAAAGCTGATATCCTTTCATTAAACCACCAGTACCTACCGGTTTGGGGCTGCCGTTAATGTGGAAGCTGAATCGGCCTGCCCCTCCGGTCCAAATTCTTTTGAGGCCGGGGGGTACAAAACATGTGGGAGGTACTGGTGGCTTAAACTCAAGTAAAAGGAGGCTCGAAATTTTTCCACAAAACAGCCCGGAAAAGAGCAGACTGGGACCTCTACCCAGTTTAGGTGTCAGACATTGGGGCATATCCAGTCACAGAATGGTAAACTCTAGGGGCGAGGTCCCACTAGCAACGGGATAGGATAGAAACGAGTTTGTGGGGCAGTTGAGTGACCCAAATCGTGCCGTGCACTACTCGTGATCCCACCGTCCGTATTTTACATGTATTACCCGAAAAAGTAAGGAGATCTTCATTCCCCTCTTCCTCTCCTTAACACTGGGCATGCCCGTGCAAAGACAGCTTCCCGCTAGAATCTTTTCAATCGGTTGGGGGTGTGGCCAACCCCAAACGAGGCTGGGGTCGGCCTTAGCCCACTGGATAGAAGATTTTCAACATTTTACTTGCTGTTGTGCAATTATCTCATTGGGTGGAGCCCTCCTTCAATCACGGAGTCTATGGAGGGTGTCAAGATCACTGCTGTCAGAAAGTCGAGTTTATTCCAAAAAATGTGGCTCGGAAGCCCACTGGATAGAGTTCACTGTTTTTGCAACCACCACCATCAGATCATTTGTGATATGATGGCTGGGAAGCACTCTGCCGTGATTTCGGGTGGGAGGTCTCTGTTTCTTGTTTTGTTTTTGGCCTTTTTCCTGTTTTCTCAGCCTAGAAATTCGTAATGAACGTGTCTGGCCGCTGCCACTCAGTGTCACACTGGATTGGCCACACTCCTATCCGAATGCTAATGGGACGTCGCCCTAGGACCACTGTACTGATAATTTCCCAATCCTTATTGTCACCTTTTGATTGGACAATAAAAAAAAGAAAGTGCGAAAAAAAAAGGGTTTGCGAAACTTGACTTCGATTCGAAAAAGAGAGGGAAGAAAAGGAGGAAATAATTCAAAATATCCATGTTTAACAACAACTCCCTGGGACCTTGTCCCACCTACACCGTTGAGCTAGGTCCACGTTTAGTTTTTTTTTTTTTTTCTTTCTATATTCTTCTCTCAACTTCTGTTTTTGCCTTTCACTACCTACTCCTAACTTCCTAAGGCTATCTAGAGGGGACCCCTGCAAGCATAGTTTCCTCTCACTGTGAAGGGGAGATTTAATGTTGCACCTTGCCCCTAATGTTTAGGGTATAGGGTTGGGGCCGCCAGTGGGGGTCTGGCTAACACAAAGACCGAGACCTGCCAGTAGCTGCGCCTCCCTTTCTCATCGTCCCCCGCCCCTCATCGAGTAGCAACAGTAGCTATGGCCAACACTCTCCCACACACCACACACAACCCACTCGCGCTCGCACTCACACCCATGTTGGTCATAGATTCCACTAATACCGATCAGGAGTATGGTATTGGAGGTTGTCGAGGAAGTACAGGAACGGGGACCCTTCCGACAAACAATGGGTGCACTTGATACGTAGCTGGAGGAAACTCCCCCCCCCACTTCGATCGACACCTGAGAGGTGGGAAGAGATCTTTAGGCAACCCCTCTTCGGCAACCGGCTAATAACAGATGCTGGAGGGCGTGTGCGGAACAACTCGGATGCCCCGTGGAAAGGCTGGGTAAAGCATGGTGTCCGGAGGGTTGGGGACCTTTGGGACGGGGAGACCGAAAACTGGAAGAGCATAGAAAGGATACGTACATGGCTGCGGTACTGCCATCTTACTGAGAAGGCACTCAACGACCTTATTGAGAGCTTCCCCCTCCAATGGTATGCCACCCTCAGAAAAGGCCCATGTTTGAAGGAAGGAAATTGGGTGGGGCTACCCGACCATGAGAAAGAGGTCAGGCATGTGACCTTACAGGCCCAGGACGTGCGTTAATAGAAGTCTTCTCCATCCAAAAGGACGGCAGACTAGAGGGAAACCAGCAACCCTTCATATGGAAAGAACAAAAGGATGTGTATCGCATCCGGGTTATGGAGGAGGGATGCCACCAGAGGGTGTACTGCCCAATAACCCCCATTGAGGACCTCCCCTTAGACCCAGAAAAGTGGCGATGGAACCAACGTAACCCGACCAAGAAAGGAGAGGATAACACACTGGCACTACTCAATCCGAAAACTAAATCTGCCTACCGAATGTTCAGACCCAAATGCAGACTGCGGGACCGCGTGGAAGATAGATGGTATCGCCATCTTAACATAGACCGTAGCCTACTTAAGCCCATTCGATGGTTCACTCACTATAGTTGCAGACCCGCCAAAATCTTAGCCCTCCAATGGCAAATT